TCCTCTTTTCCTGGTGTTCTCGCATTATGTAATCAGAATCTCTTGATTTATAGTTACTGGGGCAACTCTAACACCTCACATGTACTTATTGTGTAGTATGTTTGCAGAACTATGCGAGTCGTCTTTGAACAGCTCCACCTGCCCATTACTCGAACAATTCTTGAACCTTCACGAGAGGATGACAAAGGCTGCCAAAGTCATTAGTTTCATGCGAAACACAAAAACCTCCAATTCAGACGAAAATAATGACTTTAGTTCTCAACATTCTGTGCCTGACAGTGATTACCTCACTCCTTTCCATAAAGCATCATTATGGGTTCAGGCCGCTGTGCAAACCGATCTTTCAAAATTCTCCCTTTATACTAAAGCCCCGGGAGAAATGCCTAATTTAAATTCTGCAAACTGTTACTATGTCGCGACTGAAAACAACACTCCGGACAAAATCGTTGCAAGAGAAAAATCCTCGCACAATAAATCGAATAAATCTGCTTTGAAACTGAAAGACTCGCCCTCTAATTCATCCCAACGCCTTTCTAATGTGAAAGGGACAGCAAATGCCGAGCAAGATAAGTGGTCAAAGGGGTTCGGATTGAGACATGCGGATACTTTAATACAGAAGCTAATTTCATCTTCACGTGCTTGGTTCTTGGACTATTTGGAAAATTTTCTAAACAACGGATTTGGAGTGAAGAATAAAGACGAAGCTTCGTATGTTGCTGTGCTTGGGCTGCTTAAGAGGGTTAATCGGTGGTTGGATGAGGCTTTTCACGGGGAAGGTAGTGCTGAGGAGAGGATCCAAAGACTGAGAAAGAAGATTTATGGATTTTTACTTGACCATGTCGACTCAGCTGTAAATCGCAGGTAGCTTTTTGTTAACTGGGGACGTTAATATAATGGTTAGCCTTGACGAGCAGATTTACAGTAATTGAATCTATGACTAGTTTGTGCCTGTGGTTTTGGGTAGTTTGGATTTGGAATCGTGAACTTTCTAATTGATTTAATTCGGATGTACTAACTACACTGTTTTCTCATACTCAGATGATGGATCTTTGTAAGTGTGTGTTCTATGTAGCCATCTTACAGTAGATGTATGTGAGATGAGAAAGTTTGAAACATAAATGTAATGTGTTTAACATTTTTATTCAATCGCAACCAAAAAAGGGAAAGAAAAACAAAAAGTAGTAGTGTATTCTGCAAGCTCGATGTGATTGTACTAATCAGAATCTATCGAAAGTTGTGAAATTTGGGTTTATGATGGTTGCTTCTTTACATTAGAGGAACGAACAAACATAAAATACTCGAAATGGTACTAATAACTGAGCAAATTAACAGGCAAACACTAGCCCTTGTTATGTGCTTCGATTGATCTTTATGATGATGCCTTGTCAACATTCGGAGAAATAGTCGGAGTTTTGGCCATGGCTGTCATTCCCTTGCATGGCTTCAGATGTGCATGGAGTTTTTCTGGCTTTATTGGGTTCCCACATTGCCTAGCAGCACACTAAAGTTTATCAAAAATCAAGAAAACATTCAAATGCTTTGGATTCGAATTTAGTAAATATTGAAAAAATCCTAGGTAAAAGCGATACATATGTTTGAGAAACTTACTTACCAGCAGTCAGGCACATTAGCAGGTATGTAAGTGGCAGATGGTGTTGTCTTGTCTCTCAAGTCACTCTTGCTCTTTAACGAATCCTTAACTCCATCGAAGCTCTTCCTGTCGAAACGAACACTTTTTGATAAAAAAAGAGGCATCACTCAAATTCTATTGAAAAAGAATAAAAGTGATAAAATTGATGTAACCTTCCACAAGAAAGTAGTTGATGTTGAGTCCATTTAGGTGTTGTGAGTATCCTCTGAGACCCTCCGAGCTGATCACCTTTGCAAACCACATTTCTGAAATCACTCGAACGCATGTTCAACAAATTGAGCCTATTGTTGTTACTATTATTATTATTCTGCTTATTTCTGGCCACAACAACCGAATCGTTAGTGTACAATGGGCCGCAAGTTATCAAGTTACGCAACATATTGGACGACCCATTTGCATTTGTAGTGCTTTTGCTCTTTGATGCTGAAAGTTTGGAATCATCTGAAGGACGCGTTTTTTCACCAGTGGCGACTTTTTTGGTCGTTTTCTTGTTGTTCTTCTTGCTCAAAAGAGCCGAGTAGAAATGCAAAGGACTATTTTTGTGGTTCTTTTCGTCTCTCTTTCCATCTCTACTACTTTTGGACGACTGCATTTTATCTGTCTTATCGGCTTTTATCGAGTCCTCTGTTAGGGTGGATGATTCGGAGCCGAAACTTGGAGATTCTTGCTCGATTTCGCATGACGATTTTGTCGAGATGTACTCTGATGAGTTATGGCTTTGTTCATTTTCTTCTTTTGTAGTTGTGATTTTTGAGTCCTCTTGGAGAAATTGATCCTTGTTCACCAACAGTTTTTCATCTGTGTTGAATTAGTTTGTGTATGTGAGAGAAAAATAAAATGAAATCTGACTATAAAAGCTTCCTTAAGAGTTGAAAAATATAAACATTACACTAAATTAATTGATTTTCATTTAAGAAAAAAAAAACACTTAAAACTTGTATATTGTACCCATCCTACAATTTCCTTATTACTTTATTTGAAATTTTTGTATTTCCTATTAAAAATAAAAACTTTTTGAAAACTCTTGCATTCTATATAATTCTCATGGAATAATAATTATAATTATGTCAAATTACCATAAATTATAAATTATTATATAACAAAATAATTATATGAGCAATGAAAAGCCAAAATTTATTGGGTTCTCACTTATTTGTTGTATATTTAAATATTAAAAAGAATAATGTTTTTTTTTTTTAAAAAAAAAATAACTATTAAGCTTTTCATCTAATTTTTTCAAACAAACTATGTATCCCTAACGAGAGGACATTTCAGCCTATATCTACCTCAATGTATCATTAAATGACAATTCTATAACTATACTGATCAGAAAAAACTTTTTTCTATATGTATTATAAAATAAATAAGTATATTAATTATATAAATAGTTTAACACTAATTGGTCATATAAAATTCATTTTTTTACAAATGAAATAAAAAAAATGTTTTTATACCTTTTAATTTAATACTCATAGTGAAAATATGAAAAAAATATATATATATATATATAAGTATATATGACCTTGGGGTAAAAGAATAGAGTACCTTTAATTGTGGTGGATAAAATCTGTGATCCTTTGAGGACGTATTCATTGTCCGATATTGGATTAATCAAATCATCATCCACCAAATCTTGCCATACATAACCCGTCTTGTATTTCCTACCACATAATAATAATAATAATAATAATAATAATAATAATAATAATAATAATAATAATAGTAATAGTTCAATTTTTTGATTATGTATTATTTAGATCATAACTTAAAATCTACACCACATTTTCCTTAAAAATTTAGTAAATAAACAAATAAGTACCTCTTATATGACCAAGAAAACGATTCTGGCATATCCTTCCCCCTCAACTCTCCAAGCCACCTCTTCACATCTGTTCATAATAATTAGACACTTAGTTGGAATTACGGGAAATACTAAAATCTTGTTACGGAACCATTCCGTCAGGGTTTGTAACCGTTAGATCAACATATAACTATCTCTAACGGTTACAAACATATATGTATGCAAATTAATTAATTAGTAAATTATAATTAAAATTAATGAGTTAATTATAATTACCTCGTAGGCGAACACCGTTGGTGGAGGGATGATGAACTCGGACGAGATGTGGATGTTCGATCTTGCCCTTTCTGCTCAGAAAGTACACAATGTGCACTCTTCTCACTTGTGAACAACAACTCGGCCCCTCCATTAAATTATAATCTTACTTCTGCTAAGGAGGAGTAAACAGCCCACACAACACAACAAAAGCCAATTAAATTAATTAATTAATTAATT